AAGGAAGACATTAATCACCCAACGGCGAAGCCCTCTCTCTTATATCCAACGCATACACGTGTGATCCGCAAGCCACGTTGACCTTTCTTTAGTTATCCAACCAATAAGAATTTTCTAACAATTTTCAAATATCATGAAAGACGCTACCTATTTATATTTTTATAATCAATCACATAGATTTACTTGAAGGGGTTCATATAGAAAATCACAATTCCCAAAGTAACTATTGTATAAGAAATAATTGACAATAATTATTTTCAAGACAAATATATATTTCATATTATTATTATTATTATTATTATTATTATTATTATTATTATTATAATATTAGAAATAGGTAAGTGTAGTTTTGTTTTGGAGATGAGCTCCCGTAGTGGTAGCCGAGAAACGTCTTCTTAAGATCGGCTTTGGACATCGTTTTCGAATCAGCAGGGCGTCACTGCGCTCTCTTCGATACGAACGAATGAATATTATTGGCTTCCATCGATAATCCGTAATCCTACTACTGGATCGCCTACTACCGGGCCGAATGAATGGAACGCAACGGAGAAACGGATGTAATCATATATCATCAGGTATATGTATGTAGTCGGTATATAACAAATTGTTAAGAGAGTTAAGAAATGCTCTCTAATTTTCTTTATTTTCCTATTCGAAAGTTAGCCCAAACTCGTAAAAACTCGCAAAAACTCGCAAAAACTCGCAATCCCAATCTAATGTAAAAATCAACTTACAAATTATAATCTTGTCGACAATAGAGTCTCATCCCCCGAAGAAAACAGGAGTGTTGATCATGCAGGGGTCTGGCACAGGCGCAACACTTGAGGCATCTCGAGTGCCACGTTCGATCCCCAACACATAGAACGATACGTTCTCGGACACTTTCTCCGCAACCGCCACAATCCATTTCCATGTTATCCTGTTGTTGACCATTTTCTTTAACATCAATACCACTCCCAACCATAATAGTACCCTTCGACAATGCGTTTGCATTGTTTCCTTTCTTACCAGGCCCATGATTGTTGTTGATGTTGCTGTTGCAGTTGCTGTTGTTGTTAATGTTATTATTGTGATTTTGAGTGTTGTTGTTGTTATTGTTGTTATTATTATTGGCACTGATAATATTTTTATGATTGTTGTTGTTGTTGTTGTTGTTGGTAGAACAGATCATGCTATCCGAACACTCGCTGTCGATTTCCAATTCGGCCTAAAAAAAAAAAAAAATAAACCGATTGAAATGAATTTTCAATAAAAGTTCAATTAAAATGTATGAGATATTTGATAAATTTGGTTGAAACGTTTCTAGATTTGTATATATGGAGAATCGAGAAGGATGAAATTCGATAGGATTTATTATTCGATCCATAAAATCAGTTTAATTTGGTAATAAAATAGAATCGTTCGCCGTACTGTAGTAAGATCAACTGAAAAGAATTCCAAGTAGTCCGTTAAACGCGAGAAACCGTTCCAGTAACAGTCAGTATGCAGTTTATTCCCGAACAAAGCGTGGAAAATGAAAAAGCAAATGTAACGTTGTTCGTTGCTTTTGTTTTTTTATTTCCAAATAGCCTTTTGTGTCGAGCAAGTTTCCGGGTTGTGCAAGATAAGTCGCATCGAGTATTTTGCTGCGGGCTCCAAATCTCAATTAATATAGGTACGAGGAAAAAGAAAAATAATCAAGCGAGTAGTCCGAAGCCTCTCTCGAGTTGATAAATGACGTTGCTCTCCCTAGCCAGGATACAAGCAAAGAAGAAGAAGAAGAAGAAGAAGAAGAAGATGGTATGGTGGCGTGGGGATAGCTATAGTTTTGCCATTTGTGCTTTGCTCCTGGCTAAGGAGAAGAAAACCATGCTACACCACGGTGCTACACCACGGTGCTACACCACGGTGTTACAGCACAAAAAAACTCCACGTCCCACGCTTAGCGAAAAGTTAGCTTGGCAAACAGATACCTTGACCCTCCCTTTAGGTCAATCTAACAATCATTAAACGACAATAATTCGACGAATTTCGATATTGGGAATGAATAAAATGCTCGATACATCGAAGACAGGCAATTTTCAATAGAAAAAGAAGTAGAGAGAAAGAGAGAGAGAGAGGATCCGACGGCTCTTAATATTATTTTTTATTTTGTTCATTTGTTTCTCTTTCTATTCCTCGTTCGTTCTGTCCGTTCCACGTCGAGTGGTAATCATTTCACGTATAACTGGACGGCCATTGATTTATGATCTGCCGAAGGCAAAGTCGAACTTCTCAGCTGTGATTTATGCTTTGTAGCTTTTCGATATGCTGGCGGAAAGATTCAGTGACGTCGATTCTTTTAAAATGATTATTCACACCTTCCTTCGATCATCAACTATTTAACGTCAATCGACAAAATCGACTAAATCGACAAAATCGACAAAATCGAATCTCTATGTACTACCATATATTATTGCTATGTATATAAATACAAAATGAATACTTTTTCTCTTAGAACAAATTTCTCTGCACAATTTCGTAATATTTATTATTTCAAATGATTTATTTAAAACTTAATAGAATTGGGGGGGGGGGGAAGAAAAGGAAAGGAAAGGAAAGGAAAGGAAAGGAAAAGATTTTGACCTGTTGCAAGGATTACTAAAGTAGATTCGAAGGTTCCTGGAATTTGTATATAGAATAATAAGAAAAGGAAACCAACGTAGAACAAGAAAATCCTGTTTGGTTAGAAAAGTCTATTGTAATGTATTTCTACTGGTTTCAGAGTAACATCTAAGATACAACTCATAAACCTAGAAAAGCTAGAAAATCTAACAAAATCTTACATCTCTACAGAACGGAAATGAACTAGAAAATATTTAAAAATAGTATTTAAGTACTAGTATATATATATATAGTTTAAATTACTATATATTTGTTTATTTAATTAAATAGATTTTGTTATCCGAGAATTTGGAAGGTGTTAATTTGATAAACATTTGTGTTGTGTTGTGTGTCAAACGGCAATAACAATAAAAATAACAATAACAATAACATTAAATGAAATTGAAGTTTATTATTAAGGTTGTCGAAAATGTTTGTCAATGAAAAATATCTAGCACGTTATTTGCCATCGTAGGTGGTAAGGGCAACGCAATCAAGCTGTAATGAGAAAGAATAATAGAAGCCATTTTTTAAGTCGAGGCGACGGAGATGAGCTGACAAAATGAGAAATGTCCGAGTGCAAGGGTCAAACGAGTTTCGGCCTACCGACTACTCACTACCGAATATCGAAACTACACCTTTAACACTATAATATTTCAAATAACCAACTGACTAACATTTTCACATTTCTTCCACATTTCTTCCACATTTCTTCCAATATTTATATATTCATTATCTATTGATTATTTTCGTCATAAAACAAAATACAAAAGAACTTACCTTCATTTTTTATTCCGTCAATAAAAAAAAAGGGTCACGAATCGTCAAGCTTCGGTTTCATCTTTTCACTGTCAATAGTTGCCATTCACAAAGCAAATTTCACCTTTTCAATTAATATCGAATAGGATTGAAGAAAATAAAAAGTGAAGAAAAAAGTGAAGAAAAAAATGAAAACAAGTTGTAGTCGCGATTCAACGAAGAAGAGAAAATAGCAGCAAAGTATCCTGTCCGGATCCGTGTCTCGGAGAAGACTGGCATCCTCGAGCATGCCCCTACCACTGGCCACTATAGTTGTGTACCAAGAGACAAACTTGCCGAACAAGTAAATCCCCCCGTACTACTATAGAAACTCAGTTAGGATATTCGGAGAGGTTGGTAAGGTGGACTCCGCCTATCGAGAGCACGCCCCTGCCCTGTGTTCTTCTGGTTGGGCAATGCGCTCGCGCGAGTTGGCGCATGTGCCAAGGGGGATCAATCTCATCCCCCGATTAACCATCACCCTTTTACCCACCACCCCCCCCCGAAAGGTAGGGAGGGCAAAAATCCAACCCCTATTCGCTTTTTATTTCTTTTATTTCTTTTTTTCTCCATTTTTTGCCTCTCTCTTTGCTATACTCCCTTTCCCTCCTACTCCTGCTCCTACTCCTGCTCCTACTCCTGCTCCTACTCCTGCTCCTGCACCTCCCGTTCTACCGTTTGCTGAATTTTTCTCAAACTCTAAGAATCGCTAACTCTGATGGAATTTCAGCGGTGATTCGGCACAAACTTCACGTTTCCCGTGTGTGTTCCTCCATCTTTCTCTTACTCGACTAAACTTACTTACTTTCCTTCTGATCTCTCGTGCAGCATAAGATATCGAGAGATGTGTACATAAAAGAAAAGAACAAGAAAAACAATCTAAACAGAATTTTAGATTTTAGTCGAGGGAATGTGAAAATATACCTACACTATTTCTTATATGTAAGGAAAATTTCATGTGATAACAAAAACACAAACATCATAATAATTAGAAGGTTTGAAAAGAAGAATTTAAATAGGAATTAAATAGGAATCTTCGTAACGAATTAAAAAACAGTTAAGAACGTGAATAGAGAAGTGAATGTGATGGTATATAATTATCGACAATTATGAGAGAGACAACAAACAATACGTTCAATGTATACCTATAAATATAAATGTATTACATTTCGTCATTTCATTTCTGTTCTCACCTTCTGTGAACAACATTCCAACAATCATTTCCATCAACACCCCTAAAGTAGCAAGAAACGAAATAAATAATCAGTTAGCCACTTTGATCATCCTTTCTCGAATAAGAATAGAAAAATATGAGATAGGTACACAACTTGCATCAACTTGCATCAACTTGCATCAACTTATATCAACACAATAAATGCATACACACCTATAACCCATCGATGTATTCGATTTTTCCCTCCTTCCCTTTTTCTTCCTTTTCTCTTCCTTTTTTCTTATTTTTTTCTTATTTTTTTCGATGAGTTCGGGTTCTTGAGGGGGTTCGAGCACCTGTTTGTATTTCAGCCTCGCCGACACATAAATCATTCTGGAATGGACTAACGCCTTTTATCACTGCTATAGGCCTACTCTCTCGTTCCTTTTGCCCAACACCCCACATATTCATGGCAGTATTCCTTCTGCCTAACTTTCGATGCTAGGTAGATAGATCTTGCCTTTCTCTCTCTCTCTCATGCTTATATATATTCTCGATTCCATTTGAAAGGGACGCATATACGCCCACGCCGTCAGTAAAATGAATATGAATTTTTCGTTGGAGAGTGTCTGGAAAAGTGTCAAACGAGAAGCCCTCCCTACCACCACCTCTATTCTTTCTTCCGAAATATCGTGTATTTAAAAATGCGTGTGCGTGCGAACGTATTCCAAAGCAACTTACTAGCTGGATTTTTGTCTAACACATTTTTCGATATAACTTCTTTTTTCTTATAGATCATCGATTTGTTTACACATTTTTAATCGTTATACCAATAATTGATTCCTTACATTTAACGACTGTGTAAATATTATCCAAGTAGAAATAAATAGAAAGACACATTAAGGCCATCTACCAAAAATTCGGATGCACGATCGAACTTTGCCATTCTATATACCTTGTTATTCCATATATTAGCATATTAACATATTAACATATTAACATATTTCCTTTGTACGTTGTCGTTGTACTGTTGTACAGTTTCGTCGTTGCCACGCGAACGATCCTGCTGCCTTCTGAAAATTGTAAGAACCCTGTTGTAAAGAAAATTGAAAACAGCCCACACTAGAGGGTGCTTAATTACCATTTTCGCTTTTCTTGTCGAAAAATGAAAAAGAAAAAAAAAAGGAAAAAAAAAAATAAAGAAAAGAGCTCGAGGTAAGGAAAAAAACATCGAAATAAGGGCCAAAATGATACTTAATTAGCATGATAAAGCTAGCTCTCCTATTGGAATACCTGTTCGAATTGGAAAGGTAAGATCGTCGAGCGTGTTTTCTGGTGAATAACGCGATTCCATTGTCACCTGGAAGAATTGGATATTCTTCCGAGTTCGGTTCGGTCTGTCAGTCCGATATTCGAAAACGTTGCACACGAGTTCACCTGCTGTGCAAACAAACATTACTTTTTGGAGACAAAAAATCCTTAAACCGAACCGATGTTCTTCGTAATCGCGAATGGCATAAATATATATATACATATAGTAGAGGTATATATGTTCCTTTTTATTGCGACATTGGAAAACACTTGTTATGTGATTAATTACGATGAATATTTTTTTCTCTTTGATCAAATATGACAAATCAAGGAAAGAGAGAAACATTTCGTTATTTATTATGACTATTAACGAGTAATAGAAATAATATTATACCATAAGAGAAGTTTTATTTTCATTGACAATTCATTTATATTTATATAATATACATAATTGTAAATAATTGTAATAAAAATGATGATTTATTAAAGGTCTATTAACTAATTTCGTTCGTTCGGCAGGAAAATGTCGTCAGTCAGTCAGACAGACAGACAGACAGACAGACAGAGAAGCTAAAGATACTAAAGATACTATAGCATGCTTGCTTGTATAGCGTTCCATGTAGTTCTGTAATTTTCGGATTTCCACGTTCCAGCATCCATCCAAGATAAGAGATATATATGTATATATAAGGGACTTTCTCTCTCGTAGTCTAGTCAAGCTCTCATCCTCAGCTTCCTGCTCTGTGATCTCCGAGCGTCTGAGTTTCATCCCTCTTGAAGTTAGCTAACAGCAGGATCCTGCACAATGTAGCCGTGATTGCAAATCCGCTCGTTATCATCAAAACTGTGCTCGACCTAACGAAAGCGTCTCTCCCTTCGCTCTATCTGTCTTGCTCGTTTCTCTTACTCTCACTTATATACTTGAAAACCCTTGCGAAATAGGTAGAGAGAAAGAGAAAGTATCTATCTTTCTCCGTCCTTCGTCTTTTTCAAGAAGAGCGTTAGCAAATGTTCATGTCTATTACATATATTTTTCAATATATGTATTTTGTCATTGTATCGATTGAATAACGCATTCCACAATAACGCATGTTGTCTTATAAAGCATTGACTTTACACTTTTTCCTTTCTATGAATTAAGTAAGAAAAAATGATAAAGGAAACAATGAAAGGACAGGATGATTCCTTAGATCTCTCTCTCTCTCGGTGGGCGTAGCTCCTCGTAAGAAAAAAAAAGTCCTTTCTTTTTTTTCTTTTTCTCTTTTTCTCTTTTTCTCTTTTTCCTCCGCGTCGTTGATTCGAAAGGAATAATCGGATTAAAGGTCCATGCGGGGTTCGGTTCATTGTGCGAAGGTTGACTCGTGAGAGGGATGAAAGACTCGCACGGTTATATGAACCACGATTGAAAAATAAAAAAGACAAAGACAAAGAGAAAGAGAAACGACACAAAGTGATGGAAAAAAAGCAAGAGCAAGAGCAAGAGCAAGAGCAAGAGCAAGAGCAAAAGGACAAGGACATGAGGAAAAAAAAACTTGTCGATCGTTCGGGCAAATATAATTGGAATTCAATACTGACACGTGCTCTGGGGCCCTATTGCGTAAGAAGACCCTCTGTTAGGTCGTGCACCACCTTGGCCCCAGTTTGAACTCGCTACATACATTGTATGTGTGCATGATACGAAATCACACGCGATCATTTCGAGCGTAATCTTATCTGAATTTTGGTCAATGTTTATTGACAAAAATCATGTTAGAAAAATAATTGTAATTTGTTGTAGGGTGCGGTTCTCCAAGATGTTATCTTTTACTTGGAGTCGGCTCGCTTAATTATCGGCACGGTTTATCAAGCAAAGAAACGATCGCGCTGAATCATCGATGGGATCGATTAATTTGACTGGACGCACATCGATGGAAATCATTTGTTCCCATGGAATCGTGCGAACTATACTACATTACATATGTAATTACACCTGTTAGCCTGTTATGTCATGGAAAATATTGGACACTATGGGAAAATGATTGTACACTCTATCCGAGAATATATGATATAATAAATAATGTTGCTTGATGAAGACATTTACGAAAGATTCGCAAAGAGAATCTTTTTTACGTGTGTGTCGGCGAAGGTAAATAAATAACGAGCGCCTTGCTGCTATCTGCATCGAACCTAACAGCTCTCTCTCTCTCTCTCTGACTCCTGTGTGCGAGCTAACCGAATTGGTATTTAAAAATATGCGTGCCGACAGATGCGGTTTCCATGTCGCGCTCTCTCACTGACTCCCATAAATATGATAAGACTCTATAGTGAGATATAAGAAGTCTACAAGACCGTCTCCTCTTCCCCTTTTCGTACCTTACGTACACTCGCACTCTTCTCTCGGGTTAATTAGTCGGTTAGTTAATCACAGGGATTCGATGAAACTCTAAACTTTTATAAAAATAAACAATAGTTATATAGAATATGTAGTGTTATTTTCACTTTTGACAAATGGAAAAGTTGCAAAGTTAAAATGGCCGTTGTTGTCGTCGTCCGCTGTTGTCGTCCGCTGTCGTCGTCCGCTGTCGTCGTCCGTTGGCAGTGTTCCTGTTGATCGATAAAAGCGTCGCGACGCTGGGCGTGTCCGTTTCGTACCACCAACTCCGCAACGCCCTGCGAATCACCACGCGAATTCTACTCTCGCGTAAAACGACGGATAAACTATATCGGAAACACAAGATAAGATAGAAAGAGGAAGACAAATTTCAATGGAAACCCTTCTTCTTCTTCTTCTTCTTCTTCTTCTTCTTCTTCCTCTTCTTCTTCTTCATTGCAATAGTAAAAAGAACAAGAAGAACACATCCCCTCTATGAAAATGAATCTTTTTCTCTTGTATTCTTAGTCTTCTTTATTTCTGTAAAGGATGTTCTGTAGAGACGTCGAGACGACAGGATCCGAGGATGAAGAGCTTAAACGGATTAGAAGGGTCCTGCCGGATGACTAAGTTTTAGCTGGGCCAGCGCCGGCGCTAAATTCAATTTGATCTTAACGTTAACTCGATCCCGCGTACGGTTACACGCTGAATTAACCGTCCTTGACAACGGGTTCGACAAAAATATTCCTCCAAGATAACCAACAAGTACATATATACCTCCTATCATGCATATCACAAATATCGTATCGATATTCATTGATACAAAATTCAATAGAATTTCATTTTTTATCCAACCAGCCCTGTGTAAACTTATTCGTATTCTCTATCTATTCTCAAAGAAAATGGGAAAAGTAGAAGAAGGATGATTTGATGATTCAAGTTAAATTTGAGCAATAAGCCTATAAGAAAAATGTCCCAAATGGACAAAGACACAAAGGAGGAAAAGAGGAAAAGAGGAAAATAGTAATCGCGAGGAATCCGATTAAGCTAAGGGGGTTTTGCTGACGTTGCGAAATATACTTGCAATTCGGAATTCTTTCGTGTTCAATGAAATTTGGAAAAATCGAATTTACTAGGCTGCTCAGCAACTTTATTCCATGCAACATTTCTAAATACTTTAGACTAACATACTTACGACTACATGTTAAATATAATTGAAATTTATATGAAAATATAATCAGGGAATAATTTGAATAAAAAGGAAAAAAAAGAAGAGAAATAGTAGAATCGTAAAATTGGGGAGAAGAGGATGAATTTGGTCCGTTCGGATCCGGTTTATCGAGCTGGAACAACAAGCGGCAATCAGGCATAACTCGATCATTTTATTCTTCTACTACCTCCTCTCTGCGATCCACCCTCCCGTGATGGCCCTTCGTCCATCCTCTCTCCATCCTCTCTCCATCCTCTCTCCATCCTCTCTCCATCCTCTCTCCATCGCGATACTCCCTTTTCGGATTTCTTTCTCACGACTCGGAGAAATCGCCAATTTCAAATACACCACCATTCTTGCCAAAAGAGAGAGAGAGAGAGAGAGAGAGAAATATTTAAGTACTCATATACTATTATTAAAAATGTAACTCTTACATTGAATAAATAGAAGCATTACATCATATAACACATTTGAACCCTCCGGACGATTGGTCAATTTGACAGAGCAACGTAAAACAGGAAGAGGGTTAGATCGGGACTCGAGAGAGGGGAGCAAATAGAGATATTTCGAATGATAACAATTTTCATTTGATCCAAAGAACTTATGGGCAAAAGGCAAATCAAAAGGCCATCGATATACTTTATTCTATTTTTAGGCGAGTACAAATGATGTAGGAGGGATAGACCATATGGGCAACATTCCAAAAGGGGCGGTCTATTTCCTAGGAAAAATCTATAATCTTCCATTATCGCGATGTGTAATTACAACTGCAATTCTCAATGGTTATTATAAAATGATTCTAATAAAAATACATTACACATTTTTGGCAATGAATAATTTCTTGTTTTCTTTTTTCTTTTCTTTTTTATTTCAAATCCAAGAAGTTTGGTTGGAAATGTTGCTTCGTTTGTTAAAGAATGTTCAAAGTCGTAAAATCGCAAGCAGATATTTGGTATTCCTAGTGCGTCTATCTTTTTCCCCCTCTCTTCTTTCTCTTGTACGTATCTCCAGCAATATTATTCGGTCCACTTGTTAGCACCCCTCGAATAAAGGGACCCCGTGTTACCCCGTATCCACCCCCATCCCTCCTAATCCTGTTATCGTCTACAATGCTTCCATGTACCTACCTACCTAACAACCCTAACCTAACCAACCTAGTACTCCCTTTTTTCTTCACACTGTGTGACAACAAACAATACCTTTAAAAGCACCATATAACCAAACGAAAAGAAAGAAGACAAATCTCAAACTCGTGTGAGACATACATACGTATGTATAATATATGGTCTACCATGGTCTATTGGTTGGTCGGTGAAGAACAATTGATCTCTATAACTTATTAAAAGTAAAAAATGTGCAAATTGAAATTTAAGCGAAAGAGTTAATAACGAGGTCTTCTACTATGATAGAACGGTAAATGCAAAGAAAAAGAGTCGAGTAAGAGATAGAGACAGAGTGAGATCAAAGGCGGACAGAGCTTGCTGTCGATTCAAAATTCCATGCAAATCACAAAGAGGAAAGAAAGGAGTTTATTTCTTCCTTTATTTCCATGAGATCCCTTCGTTTCCGATCGCTTCCTTCCTTCCTTCCTTCCTGCCAAACCAACCTCGCAACCGCAAATTAGCCGCACGTACAACGGCTAAAAGAAATTTAAAAGAGGAACTCCTATCTTCTTCGTCCGTCCATTGGCCCGATCCCCAGTCAGAGGCTTTTTTATTTTCTACTTTTTTTCTTTCAACGTCAATGTGAAGAGTATCTTTCTTTCCCTCGCCTTCTTTCCCTCGCCTTCTTTTACTCATCTCTCTATCTCTATTTATATCTTTTCTTTTCTTTACCAAGCGTAATGGTACGATAAATTCATGTGATCGAACCCAAGTCAAGTCGACATTTTTCCGAGCATAATTATTGTCCTTACGATGATTTGCATGAATTTACATGCCAGCTCTCGTCTTTCTCTTTCTCTCTCTCTCTCCCTCTCTCTACTTCGTCTTCTTCGATTTCATACTCAGCGCATCACAAAAGATCGTTTAATTGTCCCCGTCTCTCTTCTGGCTACGATTACTCGAAATTATTAAAACGTCATCCTCTTTCGTAGTGTGTATAATAAATATGTATCTATATATATATATATATGTATGTAGTTGGATTGTAACGACACCCCTATAAAAATCGGATAAAAATCGGATAAAAATCGGATCCTACCAGCAAGTAGGTGGCGGAAGGATTAAAAGCTACCCCCTTCGTCGTGAACGCGTATCCAAAAACGAGGAGGGTGGTTATGCGTTCTGTCAATCGTCACCCACCCTCTTCTTTTCAACGGAGGACTCTATTATTACAGTTGTAACTGTTCAACTTTAATTCTCCCCTTCGACAACAGGAGAATGATGATCGTCAGTAGTCCTTTCCCTTTCCCTTTCCTGTTCCCTACTGGCATTGGTGTAATCCCGTAAAAATGTAAATATCTTTGTACGGATCGTATATCGTTCTTTGTACATGCTTTCTTTGGGAACATGCTCGTTACAAAGCTAGCAATGGGCGCAAATATTCGCAGATGCTAGTAGCTAGTGTTATCGTGCCAGGAAAATTCGGCTTTGCATCACCCACCATCCATCCAGTATCTCTCAGCGAGAAACGGCTAACGGGATTTATTTCTATCTACGTATGTACTGTGTCTACGTATATACTCATACATACTAGCACGTATGCTACGGTATCGGCGGTGGACCACGGCCAGCGGGGTCCGTCCGGTAGTTCATTAGAGATCGCTAAACTTTAGGGCGTAGACCAAAGGGACTGAGGATTTCGTTACGTCTCCAGACACACACTCATGTATTTCATCATCTATCTCTGTGGTGTTTTGATATGTTTCACATTCTCGATCAAATAATATTATACTTGAGACATTTTTCTTTCATGTATTTTCCATATATTTGTCTTTTTCTTTCTAAATAACCACATATTTTGGCAAAATCTTCGATCTCTGATTTAATAATCGGCTAATGCCGAAAGTCCGGAGACGCGGGGAATGAGAAAGAGTAAAGTGTGTAAGGATGAAGCTTTTTAATGACAGAGGCGTGTTTACGGTAGGCAATGTCGCCTAGTTTTTGCAACCATGACGCAACCCAGCGGCATCCTTAATGAAAGTTTCATTGCCAAGATGGAGGTAGGAAAAGAAGAAAAAGATAAAGATAATCAGTGAGTTGGTTGGGCATTGGGCGCTTAAGAATTTCGCTAAATGATTCGCAGATATTTACGCGATCCCCTAAAGTTACGACCGTTAACAGCCATCCAGTACTCCAAACTGAGATTATAAATCAAGTAATCAACCGCCATAAATGTCCGCCCACGCGATCGCGTCTCGACTTTTTTCCGCTAATCGTTGCGAACAACTTTTAAACGGGCACTTTCATTTTTTATTATGCCTCTATTTTCGGGTTGCAAAGGTACCAACCAGAACAGGGTTCTTCTCTTCTCTACTACGCTTGTCCGCGATTTTAGAAGGGCTGTTGGGGAAGGAAAGGAAAAAAGGGAACGGAGATCTCGATTGTTGCCCCAACAAAAACCGCAAAGGGTGCATCGCGATAAAAGACGAATCAGGCCCTGGCGGCGGCGGCGGCGGCGGCGGTGGCGGCGGCGGCCATTGTTGCCGATGGTTAAACTCTCGCATATATAATCGAGGACTTTGAACGCACAATGCGTCATAAATCAGCGATCATTGCGAGAGCGAGAAAGCGAATGTTTCTTCTTGCCGTTTCGTCGTCGTCGTCGTCGTCGTCGTCGTCGTCATATTCTTTTAAAAAAATAACTTGGATAGAGAATTTCGTTAACCCTCAATGATATCGTTCTTACCTAACATCACTAGTTTTTGTTGTATTCGTGACAATCTTGTTAAACTCGTAAATACATACGTGAGAGAGCAGTAGGAAAAACGATAGGTACCTATGCTGATTTGTATTCATCAGCGGTGGTTACGCTCGTCACCGTATTCGCGAGATGAGACGAAAACGAAATGAAATCCTGCTTTGCGATTTATTCCACTCGCGAATTCCACCGGGAGTTTATTAATTTAATAACGATCGACGTGTATACTCTTGTCGCGCCGCCGTCAATGTGACTGATGCAAAACACGTATTTTGTTCCCTGCATACGACCACTACGACCATACACACTTCGATGACGGACTTCAATAATCTTATTAACTTGGACTGATTTTCTTCTTTCTTCTTTTTCCTTTTTTCTGTTTTTTTTTTTTTTTTTTTTTTTTTTTTTTTTGAAATACGATTAAACATCCATTGAACGTTGATTTTTTCAAATTTACCTACTTTATGATTATGAAAATTGAACGAATTCTAAATAATTGTTCTACAATGACTTACGTAAATGACTTGCGAAAAGAAAGATCAAATCTTTCAGCTTAATAACTAGTAATTCATGAATAGAAGTGTTTTTGTGGCTTTTTGTGGCTTTTTGTGGTTCTTATGGATACGGAAAGATATGCGACAATGCAAATATAACATTGTTTATTTTATAAACGTAGAACGAATGGCCGCAGATCATTAGAAAAATAAGACGTACAAAATATGATATTCCGATGAAACGCATTACGTACTTCTTATTGCACGCGCATGTGACAATATCTTACTATTGTAGTCTAATCGTTAGAAAAATGTTACAAGATCAGACCATTGATAACGTATCGATATACAGTTAAACGTTTCTCCCTCTTTTCTTGTAGATTATTTGAAAACAACGTTGCTGTATCGTTATTCTTATCCTGTTAGATGACTTCCATGGACAGAGACGTAACGAGATTAATCGCTAAAATGCCCTAAACGTAAATATTTGACTTTTCATAATTATTATAAACTTTTTCTTATCAAGTGAGTTACGTTATATACATACATAAATTGTATATACATTATGTATCTCATTTGACGAGTCTCTAGATTCGATCTCTTCAAACGATCATATAAAATTATTGTACTGCTGCCGACATATGTATATATACATAATAATAATAATAATAATAATTAACAATACTATATTGCATAGGAAGGAAAAATAGGAAAAATAGGAAAAATGTAATTGAAAAAACAAAAACGTACGTCTCGTTGCTTTACCAGAAACTATAGTCACGTATTCACGAGGGCATTAAGATGATCATTCGTTAAGGAGTATTTAAGGTTTTGCCTGCCAGCGCAGCTGCTTTCGAAAGAACAATTTGAATATCCATCGATGGAAAATTCTACAAAAATCAATATTTGTTATTTCTTTCATTTTATACTATATCATGGTGTAATTCGATTTATATATCTTACTTGCAAGAGCTTTACATTCGTTGCAAAATCACCAGCCAAAAGTTGGTCCCGCAATAATCTGTAAATTAGTTAAATACATTTTATAAATAAGAAGAAATATTTTCATAAATATTGATATGATGACAATTTAAATAGATAAGTATATAAATATTTACAGAATCATGGCACAACAAATGTGTATCAAAAAACTGAATCTACTCTCGTCGGCAAACAAGGAATCCCAAATTCTCATGACATCGGGTAATGGAAATTCTTGCGAAAGAAGTAAAGTGAGCCATCTGAAAATAATAAATGAACAAAAGCTATCGTTATAATACAAATTTAACGATACTCACAATTATTAGATTACTTTAAAGGAAATACCTAAAGCTGTAATACTGAGGACATAATTCTTGTTGATGCAGTCGTATCCAAATCTCAGGATCATTGGCCTTAACTTGCAAAGTCAATTTACTCATCATCGAATTGATACCAAATTCTGCTTCGTCTAAAGATTTAATGAAAAAATCACGTATTTCTCCCATTAAATTGGTGAAACAAAAAAATGTATCAGCCTCAGCATGTTCTGCAAAATACAATTTCTATATATACTCGTATATAAATCAAATGAATCTATATATACATCTAATATACATACCTCGCCATTTTGGATCTGGATCACAAGCAAATGTATGATAAATAGGACCAACAATCTCGTTCATACCCTGTACATATCCTTGACCAGGATTTAATTTCGCATATAGGAACAATATTCTTTCCAAGACTTCCCAATGAGCCTCACCACCTTCGGCTAATGGTGCATAATCTTCTGCAGCTTTCCTAACTGATACTGCTATCTAAAAATAACAACATTCCATGTATTATATTAATATCCGTGCAATTGATAAAATAATATATGAAACATTACTTCTACAATACCTGCTGCTTTTCCAAAGTAGCACAGATATATATATATATATGTATATAATAACTATTAAATTTGTAAACACAACACATCGTTACTAAATAAAATAAAATTATTATGGTGTGGTTCCTTTTTACATACCTTAGTCACTCCAAGACCTTTTCTTTCAACATTGGCACTTCTAAGAACGGTATGCTGTACTCTATGATGTAAACGCTTTTGTCCACTGTTGTTAACTATATCTTGACAAGGGTAATCGGTACCTTGCTGGAAGAACGATATGTCTGGACATAATCTCCTGTAAAGAAATATCAATTAAAAATAAAAAAATAAAAAAAACAAATAACACAAATACTTCAAGTCTATGACTCACCTAACGTCTTTATCTATTTGCAACAAGACTTCGTTATCTTTAAAATATGTTTGCCACTTGCTATCTGGATTCAAATTTAAAGGATGATCATGTAACGTTACATCAACTCTTTCCCCGTCGACAGTAGTCTCCCCTGGAGTAACAATAAGATCCTCTGAAAGAATTAATATGAAATATAAATCAACGAAATATAAATATGTTCCCATGATGTTCCATTTGATTGTAAATAATGATTACTCACCGATAAATGTTTTATAAAGTTCCCTCTTGCGCGTTAATGTTTCCGACCAACTTACTCTGTTCGGTGGTAAATAATTAAGCAACAGTTTCCAACATAACGGTCTCAGGCCACCCTCATCCGGTATTCCTATTAATAATTATCAATTAATCATCAAACATTAATAAAATAAAGAAATGTAACGTATAACAACAACAACAACCAACCATGGAAACATATTCGCTGTAAATTCGTTAAATCAATTTCGTCGGCATTGAGAACATCATCGAAATCGTTTAACCTAAAATACAAAAATCAAAAAGGTTCACTTTAATATGGTTAGGAGAATTAATTAAAACAATATCGCATGTAACATGAACAATTGACTTACTTCTTTCGAAGAATGCTCATTTTGTATACGTGTACTATTATCGTACATGCGGTTTTAATAAAGGAAAAAATCAGTCGTTAACGTGTTATCAATACTCGATAGACGTGTGGGCGTATTGTCGTAATATTTCTCGCATTATTGCCAACAAATAACCAAATTAATGACAGCCACGTACTTAACTGCCATTCTTTTGCACCGGATTGAACGAGCTTCTTTATCTTCCATAGTGCTTCGACATAGTTTCCAATTCAGAATACATATGTTTTAACTCTATCTGCCATCCTTTTCTTACCACATGAGCGATACGTGAATTAGATAAAGACAACGATACAACGATATGTACATTGACTCTTTCAACGTGCTAATAATCAAATCGAAACTGTTATGTTTATATTACATATGTACGTATGGATGTATCACTTGTTGCAGTTACTTATATTATATTGCTTTATATGTATATATCATTTGTATTTTAATGTATGAATAATGATGATTATAATATTAAGAACAATTTTATATAAATATAATGTTTTAATATTTAAAAGACATGAGAGACTTTTTATTAAATAAACTTAACTAATATTTATATATGTTATTAGAGATGCAACTCTTAAATGTTTCATCTATTTTATAATTAAAAAAAAAAAACAATAATTATTTGTAAATCCACATAATATTAAAGATTAATACAAAATTGCTTACAATGACGAAAGTAAAGTACTTTTTGAAAAGTACGCTATTTATTTAAACACTTGCTGAATTAAATTTCTATAAATAATTTATCTCTCACGTGATATTAACGTTACTCAGATAATAATGAAAAGAAAACTTTAAAACAAATTCGTATTCGTTCTTCGGTCAAGCCCGCCATTGATCGAATGTTCCGCGGGAAATTTAAAACTGAAATTGATTAAAATCATATTTTTTAAGAAATACAAAATTAATACATTACAATAATTACATATTTCGTCATACCTATCTCAAATAATAGAACATTATAATTGTACAATAATAAATAATACTACGTAGATCTAAATGTTATACTGATGATAAAAACGACATCTAGAAACTATTTCATATGTATTCTATGGTCAATCTGAATGAAAATAGACCCTAATGATATTCAAAAAATCGTATGCAGTACATTTCTAATAAATTTATTTATATCATGACAAAACCTAATATTATTTAAACAAATATAAAGGATAAACATTATATTGTGTGTGTATATATATATATATATATCTAAAATATAAAATAAGAAAAGATAAAAAAAGAATCGTTTTTTTTTTTAAAAAAGATTGATAAAAAAAAACAAAAAGCAGAAAGAAGTTTAATCGTGAGTAACTTCAATTCAGTCCTCGGAATAAAAAGAAACGCGGGTAACGTTCGACAGAAGAGGACGCGTGCTACTGCTACTCAACCATTGTCTTTTGTTCTTGTTTTTGGTCTTACTCTATGCGAAAAGTATAATAAAAATAACTTAAGTAATATAATTATCAAATCGAACAATAGATCGAATAAACGTTTTATTCTTTCATATTTATATATATTGTGTTTTAGAAAGAGAAAGAAAGAAGGAGATATGATCTGATTGGTCAAAAGTGAATTGTACTTTTATCAATTGCTACGCGTGTCGCGTTTATGATAGTGTATTAGTATTGTGTGTATAAGAGAACGAGAGGGTGAGAGAGAGAGAGAGAGAAGAAAGACCGAACTTTAGCACATACGAGTGAAAAGTATATAGTTAACAACAACGTTAAACGAAGGAACGAACGAACAAACGAGCGGAAAGATAAGGAACGCTACAAATTAGAGTGAGATAAACTAAGAAATAAGAAAAGGAATAGTGTAGTTGGGTGAGCAAGAGGAAGAAAGAGACAGAGATATAATATCGTCGATACGAACGGTGGTACATTGGTAAATAGGTTCGAGTGCGCGATTCCATGACTTTGAGGTTGAAATCGGTAGAAAAGCAGTGCGGATGGCATTCGTGCCGTAATCATAATGGATTTTAAATAATTCCGTGGTCCGTGTGTGCGATAAAGAAATACAAGAAAAAATAGCAGATTCTCTTCTGGAAGAAAAATTCACAGACCAATACTTTCTCTCTTTCTCTCTCTCTCTCTCTCTCTCTCTCTAACTTCTTTTATCCTCTGTACCTTTTCTTGTTCTTCTAGTTCCTTTTATTTCTTTACTCATATCGTGCACAGGTAAATCTTTCCCTCCCTTATGTACAAAGAGGTAACTACGAACGAATCGATGCTTTAACGAACAGCCAAAATGGAAGAGCAAAGCGTTCACAGCAGTATCAGTGATATAAATAGTGAGGAAGCCGTTAGAAGTGAGCGTAAGTTAAAACGATTTGCAATCATTTCTTTATCTTTTGTTTCACAAATGAATACAAATGTTATATAGGTACGAAATTGTATTCGTAATTTGTTGTATCCTTTCAATGAATAATTATATACTATAAGCATCTTCATTTTGCTAATATGCTGCAAGCACCTGTAACAACTAACCCTACCTTAACTCACTCGCTCGTTCTTTCCTATCTCTATTTTTCTTTCAATATGTGTGTACATGTTTCAATATATGTGTACTCTCTCTCTCTCTCTCTCTTGCGCTTTTTATTTGTCATCTTTTTCCTTCCACGAAAGAGATAGTAACTTAGATAATTTGTCTCTTCAATATACCTGTATGTTAGTTGATGATGATATGACGACTTATGTTTAGAGGATTAGTTAAAGACCGATATTTCACGATTTTGTTTCTCCCTACTTCGGCCTTGATTTATTCTCCAAAATTACGTCAGACACGAACGATTTTCTTACTGATGAATATATCCTTATATGTTCTCTCTCTCTCTCTCTCTCTCTCTCTCCCATCGAATATATTGCTGTATGTATTTACTCCCCTCCAATTAACAATATTCTTTCTTATCTTACCTCCTATCTTTATAAATTCTTACTGATTATTGTTTACACATTTTTAATTTAACATTATGAGGATAAGAAATGAACAAGAAAAACCTGCTTCTTTATTATTATTATTATTGTTGTTATTAGCTTTTTTATATTCAATTAAAGTATCAGAAGAATATTTCAATTTATTTATTTTTATATTGTATATATCTCCTTGTTTTTATATTAATTTGAATTGTAGAAAAATTAATCAAATTTGTCTGTTAATTAGTATTTCGATTAACCATACACTTTCTTTATTATTGTTTGTATAATATTATCACATATGAACGTATACAAATTTGTGTTTGTAAATTGAAAATTTTTATAAGGGTCACCACACACATAGATCAATATCATTTTGTTATCCAATGTCCTTTGTACTTGCTTCTGTTGCTCTAATTGGTAAATTTATCAATGCTATAATCTCTGAATGAATCATAGTTATTTAATATTATGACCCATTGTGAAAAGATTATAGATAAGAGATTATAAATTTGCTATAATAGGTACAATAATACAATAGGTATCCCAGTCCTAAATTTCTTAAACATTTTCTTTATTCTTATGTTTGCTATAATTAAATATACATTTCTTGTCAATGTATAAATAATTATTTCGTTTCTTTTTCTTCATAGCTCTAGTGATACCACGTAAGAAAAGAATATGTTTAGTTGGTACTGCTGGTGATGATCCTGCTCTGGGTGCAGCTGCACAGCAATTTAGTGTTCCAGTATTGAAATCGGAAACAGGACTGGAATATATAGAAGATACTGCATATTGCACTTATTTTATACTCAAAGAATTTGAGGGACCTGAATATGATGCCCTACATAAAAGTGCTCATAGGTATAGTAATATTTATCATATGTTTTAAGTTTCTTATATAAGTCGTTTACAGATTAAACTGATTGACTAGAATACTAGAGAAAATAAGTAAAAAAAAAAAAAAAAAAGAAATGAATTATCAAAGCACTTGATTGATCGATATTCCAAGCCTAGTCTTGATTATCCATTGAACTTTGATTTATCCGCGTCATTTGATTCCCAGTTACACATTAGTTAATTATATGTTTAAAGTAATAAAAGCATATTAATGAAAAACCAAAAATTACATGTAATTATGTACATATATGTATATATAGGATATTGGGACCAACAGCACTTTTGCAGTTGGCAGAAAAGAAGGACTCATTACCTAGTATTAAAAGGCCAATGTACACACAAGCCATGGTTGGTGCAGTTGTTGTCTTTACAGGATTTAGAAAAAAGGATGAGTTGGTAAGTTTTCTCTTTATATTTATATCGCATAAATAATAGTAGTAATAATAATAGTAGTAATAATAGTAATTGTATATTGTTATCTGTAGACGAGATTAATCAATATGATACACAACATGGGTGGTAGTATTAGAAAAGAAATGGGTACAAAAGTGACGCATCTTATTGCTAATTGTTGCGGCGGTGAAAAGTATAGATATGCTGTTGTATTCAGAGTACCCATTATGTCGATGAATTGGGTGACTACTCTCTGGAGTACTAGAGATGACGTTTCCAGTTATGGAAATAACGAAGAATTGGTAAATTTTCCTTTACGTTCAATTACTTATTATAAATGCATTCAACGTTTCCTTATATTATATAATAAAAACAATCTCTTTGTTATTGTCATGATTTTATTATAATTAGATAACAGCTCATAAGCTAAAACCATTTTTTGGTGCAAGAGTGTGTTTCTTTGGTTTTCCTGAAGAAGAAAAGAAGCACATGTGTGAAGTGTTACAACAACAAGGTGGTGAGCCAACAGAAATTGACGACCCTAATTGTACGCATGTGGTAAGTTTAGAAAATAAGTTATATCAATAATATAGTAGTTAATCGTTTAAAATGACGAAAGATATAAGTAGCAATCAGGTTTAAGTAAAGCAATGTCTGTTTTGCAGTGACACTGCAACCCTGCAACAATCTACACCTGCTTGCTATTTTTTTTTTTTTTTTTGTGTTGATCTTTACTTTACTTATTGCATACTAAATGATTACATACAATGTAGGTAACAGATTTAGGCAGTCAGCAAAACAAGAAATCCAGCACTGAAAATAACGGATTAATGTATCAAAGAAATTCATTTAACATCACTCCTCCTTCATATTCATCATCAGAATCAAGCCCTTATTCCTTTATTTTTTATAATCCATACATTAATGCTATCCCTAACATCGTTCCAATTGACTCTGCCTCATATTGCATACTAAATGCCAAAAATATTATTCGATCTGAAAGTAAACATAATAATGGATGGGTATCATCTTCGTCGTCAAATTGTTTATCTACGTATAAATATTTTAATATGAAAGAAAATAATATTCTAGACAATATTAGTCAAGATTCCGATATCTATATGGATGATAATTTTTCTGATACTCAAACGTTGTCTTCTCAATCTGACACTATCTCTTCGGAATCTTTTTCATCAATGCAAACTGATTCGGGCATTGATACATCTATGTCTAGCAAAGACGGACATGAAATAACTACAGGAGGTTTACATACCTTGAAAAAGATACGTTCTTTTAATTTGCCTATAATTTATAAAATAGTATGCGATCCTAATACGCAGAATAATGACATATCTAAAATCGAATTATCTACAAATGAAAATATGATGAAAGAAACTTTTCACAATTCTGATGATAAATTGGCATGCTTTAGATCTTCTACATTAAACAAAAATAAGACTAAGCTACTTGTATGTGTACCTGAAGTTATTGAAGAAATAGAACCTTATCAATCAACTCCATTTGAATCCTTAGATCATTCTATAATTTTAAATAACAAAATCAAAAGACGATACAGAAAGTGGACAAAGTCGAAATCTTGTAATACAATTTATAAAGGAGCATCTACAAATAGATCGCATTTTAGAAAAATTTGTTCTTATCCTAATCTTTTTAGGCAACATTATTCCGATCTTAGTGATTCTCTTTTACACGATTGTTCTATTCCTAAGAAAAAGAATAATCAAAAATATATTTATTCGCCTAAAAAAAGTTCAACGATATTTTCGAAATTTCATGATATCAACTTTCCTCCAATGTTGAAGAAATATGTGTTAAATGATATAACAACTATAGAGCAGAGTCAACCTAGACAAAAGTATACACCATTACCTAGCTCTCCTCTAACTTCCTCCAAAATAGCTAAATTATCACAGTCTAAATACATACCGACAAGTGACTTTAAACAACAACAACAACAAGGAAAACTTTCCAACTATTCTTTCAAGTCTTCTGCATTAAAAGATGCTAATACGAAGAAACAGGAGGACGATCCGTCGTTACTTGTGGTACTTTTGTTTTTATTACAGAGTATTACAAGTCGTACAATGTATTATTGTTGTGTAGATTGTCAAAGTCTAATGTCAAATGTTTAAACGGTATATATATATATAATAAGCTTGGATTATAATAAATAATAATTGAGTATGTGTTTATAATATATGAAACATAAAGGAAGAAGGGGTATATAGGAGGTAGTTTTTTTAATACATGTTAAGTTGAAAAGTGAAAAATGTAAATCCACGTCTCCCTAGATCACTTACCCCTCCCACGCCACCAAGAGTCATGTTCCATCCACAATGTGTTATAATATAATATTATAATAGTATATTATGAAATTAAAAAATCATTTCCATTGTTTGTATACGTACGTTTGTACGTTTGTAAATTAACAATAATAGGAAATATATATATATATATATATATATGTTAGATTTGTTAGATATTGAAAAATATCATAAATGAAAATATTAATTTGAATGATTATTCTATAGGTTGTGGATGAATCAAATGTAAATACATTACCAGATTTGGCATCTGTAAAAGCACACGTTGTAAAAGCAGAATGGTTTTGGACTTCCGTTCAAGATGAAGGAGCAGCCGATGAAAAAGATTATTTATTTGAAGATGTAAGCAAAAGTGGATCAGTATATAGTGTTTCCTTTTTAATCATTTCTTTTCTATGTAGTATCTAGAATCAGTACTATCACCAAGCGCATCGGTCAGACGAGATAGTCAACAGACAGCTACACCAAGTACAGCATCCACAAGACGAAAGCGTAAACGACTTGCTGAAACTTTATCTAGTTTGGTTCAAAATGGAACTGATTCACCAGCTGTGCACAAAAGACGATCTAGCGTCAGTGATGCTGGGCATCTAAGTGTGAGTGGTAGTTTTCTTGACTGCACAGCGAGTTCTGATAAGCAGTTGCTTGATGGTGAGTCAGTCGTCATTATTCTCATTTGATCAAATATTTCATAATTAACTAATATTTGTTAATACGAGAAATTATACGACAGAGTATTATATTATTAACATGAATTTAATTAAATGGAATTATTAACAGTATAATAGTTTCTTCCCTTTACTTGTGGTTCAATACACACAATACACACGACGCTTATACAATCAATGAAATATCTTTATCTTTATCATAAAGTTTTCCAAGTATTATAAAAATCAATAACATAGTATATAACACGTAATAATACGTAATAATAGATAGTATTGCTTAATTTGATTACGATACGAACCATGCGAGAGGGAAGACTTGAATAGTTTACTTAATTGATAACTGACAGATATTCCAGAGGTAGAAGCTGTTAACGCAGACGGTGCTAGGAAAAATCGATCTCCGCGTCATCAAGTTTTTCTTGAATTAGTGCAAACAGAATCTAATTATGTTGGTATTTTGAGCACTATTATGACGGTAAGTGTATTGATGATATAGTACTGATCATATTGAACATTCAATGTTCAATATGAGACTATTATTTGGCAAATTGATTAACTCTATAAGATTTTGTCATTCAATGATATTTCATCCTTTTTGAAACATTTGACAAGTTGTGTTGAGTTGAGTTGAGTTGAGTTGAGTTAATCATTTTCGCCTATATAAATAATGATTTATATGCATATGACGACGTATTTATATACACAATGTGTTAACTTGTTATCTAGTTATTTAAATCACCATTGGAAGATCTTACGGAAACTAGCGGGGAATTAGTAAATAGTACAGAAGTTAAAATTATATTTGGTAATTTTCCACCAATTTATGAGGTCCACAAAAAGATGTTGGAAGAGTTGCGTTATAGTGCTACTTATTGGACAGAAGATGTTAGTATAGGTAATATATTTCTGAAGTTTGCACCTGACCTAGTCAAGGCATACCCTCCGTACGTGAATTTCTTCGAAAATACTAAGGAAATGCTAGACCAATGTGATCAAACCAAGCCACGTTTTCATGCTTTTCTGAAGATCTGTCAGACTAAACCTGAATGTGGCAGACAAAGTTTGAAAGAACTCTTAATAAAGCCAGTACAGAGGTTACCCAGTATTAGTTTATTATTAAATGGTAAGCACAAAGCTTGATAGAAAAATAATGAATTAATATGAGAAAATAATATTGATTAAATCTTAGTGCGCTTTGTTAAAATGTATTAGTTTATTATTAAGTAATTACACATTAACATTTTGTAAACAACGACATTTTGTAGATATCCTCAAGCACACAAGTAAAAGTAATCCAGATTATGGTGCGTTGGAGTTATCAATTAGCAGTATTAAAGAAGTTATGACTTATATCAACGAGGATAAAAGAAAAACAGAAGGTCAATTAGCAATGTTTGATATCTTTAACGAGATCGACAATTGCCCACCACATTTAGTATCCTCGCATAGGTCGTTTATTGGAAAATGCGATGTAATGGAACTTAGCGAAGGTTTAAGTGGTCGCGGTGATCATTTAGTTCTATTTCTCTTTACGGATATTTTAGAAATTTGTAAGAAAAGATCGAAAGCTTTCAATTCATTAAAGAGTCCCAATACGGCTAATGGATTGCATTCTGCTAAATTAAGCCAAGGAAAACCATATAAGCATATCAAATTATTACCCCTAAGTACTATTAGAAAAGTGGTGGATATTCGAGAAACCGAAGGTATTTGCATATCTCTTTTTCTTATCTATTCATATCTATTCATTTATATTTATAATTAATATCAATATTATTATTATTATTATTATTATTATTATTATTATTACTCCAAATTCTTCTTTTTTAATAGAATGTCAAAAAGTATTTGCATTAATGGTAAGAAGTAATCAGGAATTAAAGGAGAAATTATTTTCCTTTACAATTATCGATGAAGATGTAAACAAAACGAATTATTTACGTACTTTGTGTAGACAAATGGCTAATACAGTTTGTAAAGCTGATGCGGTATGTTTTTACTTCATTTTATCAAATATTCACGCAAACAATACATTATAAACACGTTCACTTCTCATGTTAATGAATATTTTATACATACAAAATAATATTATTTAGAATTATTAATGAATACAATGTATAAATAATAAGAATTGATTTTAGGATACCTTCCTGATAAGTCTTGATTCGCATCAGCTGGAAATTGATACTAGTGATGTAGCATTAGGAACATTAAGTAAAGCATTTAAGTAAGTACATGTATTTTTTTTGTTTTTTAAATATATTACAGTTTTATATAACTCTTCATCTTGTATATGATCAAGATGATAACACTTTCTTTCATAACTGTAAGCACATTTTCGAATTTGTGTCATTATGAAATATGACAATATTAATAATGTGCTTACAGTTTTGTAGAAGATAGTTTTAGTATAGTTTTAGTATAGTTTTAGTATAGTTTTATTATCAAATATTTACGTAGATTTATATATGATACATAAGGCGGGATGAATACTATTAGAAAATTTTATATGATTTAAAAGGAAATGTTGAAATTAATTAGTTCGTTAAAAAAGATTTATTTAATATACGTTATCTTTCACAATGATTATATATATATATATATATTTTTTTTTCATTTTTAAGAAGAATTTTGTAAATCTTAAAAAGAATAGTTCAACTTTTCCTGCATTGCATGTTAATGAAAAAGAAAAAATAATGGGGCGACGACTGGTTTGGTTGCAGGAGCCTATTTCATAATTTTTACCTGGAGTATATGGACCCGTATGTGTTCCTACTCAATAGCATGTGTGAAACTACGTTACATGTCCCACTACCGTCAGTTTTCGCACCAGGCTGATTACATTTTTTTACTTGCTTTTGTTCCTTAATCCCTTGCTTTTTAGAGTCCATCATTCTCATGTTTTGAAATGAAGAAAAAGATACATTTAAATACTCATATATATATATATCATATCAATTCAACCAGTTCAAGCATAAACGTCCGCAGTATTGACGACATTTTCGTATTTTTATAAATGTTTCATTTGTAAATTATTATTTATCTTGGGTTTTTATTTCAATCATTAAGATTTTTCTATTTATATTTGTACATGAAAATGTTGAAGACTAACCCTTTTTGTTATTACATAGAGAAAACTGTTGTTCTTCTCTATTTCCATTTTTTTTCTTTTTTTGCGTTTGAAAATTTTTGTATTTATTGTGTTTAGTAACTATATATATATATTATATTTTCACATCTACAAATTAATTTGGTACTATTGTATTATATTATCATTTGGCATGGATTATTACCAATATATATATATATATACATGTACATATATATTGGTAAATGAATTAATGTTTGGCTTTGCATGAACAACGTCAATATTATTACATAGATCGTAGTAATATGTCCAGTAACTGCATTCGCGATGTGGTTACAACTTGAACTGGTATATTTCATATTTTTGGGGTTCCTTTCAGTTTGTATTTTACCGCCATTATCTCCTTATTTGTTAGAAACTTTGCTTCCTCTTAGTATTTATTATTAAACAATATTACAAAAGTAGTATAATATCTTCATTTTTGTAATAACAACTTTGTGAAATAATGTTAAATATTTTCAAAATATTACTCTTTCAAATATGACAATATTATAAAGATGATGAATTGAAAAAATGATTGCATAGAGGAAGAAAAGATTCAGTGTTGCATAACTTACATACGTGTCCTATACATTTAGCACATTTACACAGCATATTTTTTCTCAGGTTTGCATCTCGTACGAGGAGGAAAGTTGGTCGAGCGTTTAGTTTTAACAAGACACCTAGTAAATTAAAGAGGGCTATGTCTACGATGATGTCACCTTTTGGATCAACGAATAGTCTCACCCCAGCAAGCCAACAACTTGCCCAAATGCGACTTGCTAGTTGCAACAATATTAACGTTAGTTGATACGTTTTTTATCGTGTGTATATATATATATATATATATATATATCTCTCTCTCTCTCTCTCTCTTACTTCTTAATTTTTTTTTTCCTTTTTTTTTTTCTACTACTATGCTTTCACTCTTGCATTTCTCTTGCTCATCTTCATTTCACGACAGGAGATTTTTATTCTTCTTATCCTTTTCTTTTTATTTTTTAAAGCATGCATTTCACATTCTTAATTATAATTTTTTTTTTTTTTTTTTTTTTCTCTAAAGAAACAAAAAGAGGCACATGAAATTTACAATTCATTGCATGATAGTTTCTACGCGATTTGTTATTAATTATAAAATTGTATATATATATATATTTTCATTTTATAACGATATAATATATTATTCATTCTCTCGTGTATATAAATTAATTTTTTATTCGCAAAGCAAAATGAATTCGAGTTTCTCAGTACGATGTACATATATATACTACATAAAATGACAATAGATGTGTCTAATTTAGTTTATTCTTTATTTAGTTTATTCTAAATTTGACTAGTAACTAGATGTAATGTTTTATTTTATGCTCTTATTTCTACGTTTTTTATTTAAAATGAAATATAAATGGAATTTATTAAGCCCAGCGCGCCACCTTTTTCTTCTATTTAGCATTTGTTCCGAATTTCCACAAACATTAAATATAAAACAATGAATATTAATATTTAGAAAAAATAAAAATTTACTTGTATATTATTAATTGCAATATATCAAACTGATGACAATGATTTTTGGTATATAATAGGAGAACAGCAGTATCATGCTTTGAAATTTGATTATTAAATAATTTCGTGTTAATTTGAAAAGCAGCTATCAAAAGTATAAAGTATTCCAAAAAGTAGCAATAACAATTCACATTAATTCACCTTGATACAGATTTGTATTTATTTATTATTTAAGTATTATAAAAATAACAAATGTAAAATCCATAGGGACATTGCAGTGGCGCACTGGGCTTGCAACATTAATAATTATTCATGTATCATCTTCATTGAAACTATTATATAATATTACTAAAAGTTTATGTGTTCATGCTTGTACAAAACCAAGGGATGAATTTGATCATAAATATATATATAATGTAAGTATAATATACCAAATAAATTCAAATTGATAAGCTCATTATATGATTCGCTATTTATACAATTAATTGGATATCTTCTCTCGTGAAAGGGAGTAGAGGGGGGGAAAGACTTGAAATGCTTAAAATGCTTAAAATGCTTAAAATGCTTAAAATGCTTAAAATGCTTTCTTTGAAAAACAAACATGTTATTTTTAGGAATGTGATGTCTCGGGGTGTTTCGACTGGATCAAAACGCTTCGTGTCACTATTTAAATTGATAAGATGATCGCTATTGCTCTTCCATTATTAATTAGTTAGAAATGATTAGACATATCTTTCAAACGATATAAATCTCTCTTGTTTATTGATAAAGTTTCTAGGAGCATGTTTCTTTTCCTTGTAAACTAATGCTAAACTTTTCTTTTTCTTTTTCTTTTTCTTTTTCTTTTTCTTTTTCTTATTTTGTTGTTATTTTTCTTTTCTTTTTTTTTTGTTAAGGCCTTTTAAAGAAAAAAAAAAAAGGTTTCATAAAATTGATCTAATTTTTTTTACGTTTGTAATTGATCTATTTTTGTTTTTCTTTATTATTATTATTATTATTATCACTATTATTACTATTATTACTATTATTATTATTATTATTATTATTATTTTTTCTATTTTTGTTAAATATACGTTCACTATTGAAAGTTATCAGCGCAGACATATTTTCTTTGTGAATCCCAGATGTATATATATTATAATATTGATGTTAAAGGTGTTATTATTGTATAAGTATAATACTTATTTATATTAATTTTTGTTTTGTTTAGAATCAATGCGCAAATATTTGATATATTATTATAAATTATGAATTATCAATGTTACCAGCAATAATTTTTAATTGAAATCATGATAATAAGATTAAGCTTGTATTTGCTTAAAGACAATATGATGCTTAGATTGTGTGAATTTTCTTTTTTCTTTCATTTTTTCTTCTAAATAGCACACTTTTTAATGATATTCAATGCATGTTTGCCTAAGAAATATTTCTTAATCTGCCTTTAAAGGTTTTTCTTTCCAGTCTTAACATAATGCGATAAAGAAAAACTTGTTCGTGTATCTTTCCAGGAACTGGGTAATGGTGGTTCAGACTCGCCCACTAGAGATGATGTTCTAGTGGCACCCATGTCGGTTCAACCGACTCGAAAGGCCAAATGCAGCTCCCTCAGTATGGCTTCACTTCGAAGGTTGTAATCAATGTACAAGGACTCATGCATTCTTTCTTTCTTCCTTTTTTTTTTTTTTTTCCTACCATTGCTCTCACTGTATTCGGTCTGCTTTTCTGTGGTCTAATTGCTTGAACAATGTTCTTTATGTTTTTTCTTACTTTTTTTTAATATCTGTCATCTTACAACATTTGCAAACTTATATATATATGTATACACGTAAGAGATATATAAATGAAAAAATAAGGTCATTGCAAATGGTGTTTGATAATTGGAGAATGTATTATAATTCAATTCTACAAAAAAATATACCGTTAAACACACTACATTAAAGTGTTCAATCTCAGACTTTACATAAACTTATAATATTCCTTATATTATGGGTTTATAAAAAATAATTGATCATTAAAATGACGCATAATGTTGTTTAGAAAATCTTTGTAGTGAATTTTTTAAAATATTGCACCACAAATAGTCTGAGATTAAATGATAGTAGCAGCCTAAAAATATCATCATTTATATGTCCTTGTGAATATATTTAATATAATTATTTACAATATTACCATTTTGTAAATTTATCGAAGATAAGAAGAACGCGTGACTCTTATGAAATATAAAAATGTACCTAATTACTATTTACATCATCGCGTTGATGTCGGCGGTGTCAAAGTGCCTTATTTATGGCATTTTACATTTTACTAATCTATTAATTGCACATGTAAAACTAATTTGGCGAGCAAATTTGTTATGGACATGACAAAATGCAAGAAGAAAAAAAAAAAAAACAATATGTATTTAAAATTTCTTTGACGAGACTTGCCTATAAATATCTGTCTGTGTTTCTTCTATTGATTCATAACACATACCATTCAGTGTATTTGTTACATATTTCATTTAATATTGAATGTTATCTAAGCATATTTTGTAAAATAATACAGAATTAACTGTTTAATAAAGTATTTATTAAATTTTTTCTATATAGTTTACTATTCTTCATGTACTTTTTTCTTAATAACGTGTTACACCATCAACATTTATCTCGACAAATTGATCTCCGCGAGAGCGCTTTATCAAATAGAAATTATTGAAATAATTAGTAGTTGAAGGCATGGAAAAGTATACGAGATTGAAACATTTGTTGTTTTATAATAATCTATCTTTTTGCCATTTTCTTCTTACTAAAAAAAATTAAAAAAAGTAATATATACTTATATAAACGGTATTGATTTAGTTTATCTGTTTATGAAAGTTGCTTCATGTTTATATTTGTTTTTATTTAATAGAAATTGTTCAGAAGTGGTTGTTCAAGACAAGTCTGATCTTTGAGAAGCAGATCGTCGTCTATATCACATATATAGCTCCTTGCTCTTATTTTCGTTCAATCTCAGTGAAGTCTCAGTGAAGTCTCAGTGAAGTCTCAGCAAAGTCTACAATGGAAATTGACTCCTTGGTTAATTTTATGAAACATATTCAAAAGAAAAACGATGAATGCAAATGGTGCTTTATATTACCACTTATATTACCATTAAATTGGATTTTCCATTTTTGTTGCCATATGTTGCTTTATTATACGCATCTCATAGGAGTAAAATCAGATGATTGCTTAATATGCTTAAATAATTTTTATGTAATCTTATGTATAACATAGTATATGACTAAAGTTAATCATTTGCAATGCTATTTATTCATCCCTTAATATCTATGATTCTATTTGATTTTACGAATATTACAAAAAGGTAATTATTTAGCTAAATTTATTTTAAATGAAAGCAATTTTTAGTTTTTAAACGACATAATTAACAAATCATTAATACGCACAACGTAACTTTGCAACTATATATAATAGACATTAGAATATATTAAAAGAATAAACACAATATACGTGAAATTATCATCTACATTGGACCACAGAAGAAAATATATATTATGCTTATTGCATATTTATATATAGCGATGGATTAAATGATGAATAAAAGTTGACCTTTTCTATATTGTAATATTTTCGATATACAATAATTACTTTTACGAAACATATCATTACAATAATTCTTGTACTTTTTATTAGAAGCGTGTGTGATATATATATATATATATACATTTGATTTGATAAAAAAGTATATATCTGAAATGTTGAATCACGTAAAAATAAAAAAAAATAAAAAATCAACTTTAATAAAAATCATGAAATTTGATTAACAACATAAATATTAATAGATCAGTTTCACAAATCAACACATTTCTAAATAGCAAATATCCATATATATATATAAATAAAAAATTATATATGAATATAAATATAAATATATACATATATGGTATGTGTGTGTGTGTGTGTGTGTGTGTGTGTATGTATGTGTATTAAAAGATCCCTTTTCAGTTTTATAATTATGTATGCATAAGAACATCAAAGGGTATAATTACAATATATAATATTATTATATAATAGTATGTTAGATAAATTTATTATTAAATATTGCAACTATTCGATTACTTTTTCTTTTCTTTTTTTTTTTTTTTTTGCTCAATGAAGAAAATTGCACTTGTCTATTGTAACTTGTTCGTTGTATATTATCTTGTTATTTGAAATTAGTTTAATTTGAAGTATATTGTAAAGATTATTTGTTCATCTTGCCGATAAAGCTTTGTAATCATAAAATCTGTATGCCCTAAATATCAGTACGTGAAGTAATGATAAATTGTTTGGAAATGGTATGAAAATTTTGTGTAATATCGTCTATATTATTCTGTGTGTAATCATTATTTGATAATATTCTATACATTTCCATCAATTTTAAATAGTTTTTATTTGAACTCTTGAAATATCGTATGAGAAAGAAAAGATATTATGCATATATATTATGTAAGAATTAGCAAGCACACATAAACGTTAATTTTTCTAACTTATTTTTTCACTTATAATCTTGTTGAAAACTTTGAAACGAAAGTGACTTGTTCATATTGAAGAAAAAACAAAGAAAGAAAAATAAGAAAAATTAACAGTACTTTAGTACTTGTGCTGTCATCATAATAAAATATATTATTATTATTATTATTATTATTATTTAAACTCAGAAATGGTACTTAAAAATCAACATAATATTATTAATTAATAGTGAATTTACATCTTCAATTGACTGTTCTCTAAATACAATTCTATTTATTGTTTAGTGCCATTTCAGAGTTGCAGTAACGACATTTACACATTTATTGTTCTTCTTATATTGTAAATATTAGTAAAAAGATCAATATATGTAAAGTTAATAATATAGAAAGTATTTTTTACATACAAACCGTATTGTAAAACTGTTAAGTAAATTTCATTTAGTCATTATCGGTTAATTACTATTATATATCTCTATGTGTATAAATTTAATCTTTATTATATAAACAAATTGAAAAAAAAAACATAAAACCTGTATTAAATAAAAACATTTCTTTTTTTTTATTATTATTATTATTCCATCCTTATGAAGTATCTTTTATAAGAGTAAATCAACTTAATTTTATATATATATAATATTAATTACATCATACAGATAAATACAAAAATAACAAGTTAAAAATCGATGATTTGTAAATAAATGTAAATGTAATTTTTTATCGCAATGAATTATTGTATTAAATTTATAATATATAAGACGAATTTTTGTTTATTTACAAAGATTACAATAAATTATAATAACTGAAATAGATAGAAATTGGTTAAAATACAGTGTGGCACACACAGTAACGTGAAATTTGTCTATTTATATTCACACAATTTATATATATATATATTTCATTCATTTCATTTTATTTTATTTTATCATTTGATTCTGTCACTTTGAAATGTGAAATGTTTTCTTTAATTCAAGTTATTTTATTAGATTTAGTTAAGATTATACTACATATAGTGTTGTATAAATAATGATTTTAAGTGTTTCTTCTACTGTTGTACATATACGATGATACATAATATACATATGCAATAAGTTATAAGAATTATTATTGCATGCATTATTAATTTGTCTATTATACTATGGCATAACTATGGTAACATGTTGTAACAAGTTTGACTTAATATAAGAACTACTTGATTTTGACATTTAAGTATTAATGGACATACATAAAAAGGACATAATAATCATTGCATTTGCATATATGCAAATGATTGAATTTGAACTGTTGATATGAAGATAAATGTGAATGAAATAAGACTCACGGTTTTCTCTTTTCACAGTCAGTAGTCTTTTGTATTATGAGCTTATTACGTTGTCTAGTTACTTTGGTTATAGGACGACCAGCGGCAGAAATTTGTTTCAATCCTTGTTGTGGAATTTTGGCTGGACTTGCTGTACGTGGTGCCGTTGGGCCTTTAATCAAAGCTTCAACATCTGCCAATCGTTTTCTCAAAGCTCGATTTTCTCTTTTATATTTGGTTAATTCTGTATCATTATCTAATCTCTCATGTCCCGAACTACTTGTTTCCTCAGCAATATGCCTAAACATTAAATGTAATTTTTCTTCGTGTTCTCTTTGCATCAATACAATTCTTCTTTCAGCTTCCAATTTAGTTTGTTTTAAAGCATTAGTTAATGTTTGTATGCGCCATTCCTGAACCTCAACGTGAGTTTCTAGTTCAGCAGTTTGGACTTCCAAATTTTTCGAACTCTCTTTCAGATCGATCACCTTAAGAAAATATTTATAAAACAGAGTTCTCATTTCACCGTCAGAAAGTTTAGCCAATCGTTCCATTAACATACGTTCTCCCTTTTCACGTTGAGATTGATTTTCATCGAAACCTTTTCGTCCACAGATCATTTCATTTTTATGCTCTATCATTGCGTCTATTGCTTCGATAGTTTCTCCACATTCTAACAATTGACGTTCCTCTACTGTAGTTAAAGTTTTTTCTTTTTGAAATTTTTCATCCAAATCACATTTTTCATCAACCAGACAATCTCTCGTACGCCTTAAATTTCGAATTTCATGACGAAGCGCTTCCTTCTCATCAGTATCCGCTGTTCTCTCTAAATCCATTGATTTTTCTTTCAAAACATGATCAAGATGAGATATTCTAGCGCTGACATCTTGTAAATTTTTCTTTTTCTCAGAACAACCACCGCCACCGCCACCACCACCAGCAGCAGTCTTCAATTTAGTATTATTCTTTTCATCTTCGCTCTCCGATTGGATTTCTTTTAATTTAGATGCCGTTAAATTATATTTCTCTTCCAATTCACGAATCTTTTTCTGATCTTCCGCCAATTCATCTTCCAATGCTCTTTTACGTTCTTCCTCCTTTTTCAATTGTTTTTTTAATTTTTCCATTTGTTTTTTCGATGTATTCAATGAACTTTCAAGCTCCAAAACTTTCTTAGCCGAATCACCGGCTATCTGTTTGATCATTTCTATATCCATTAATCTTTTTTCATAATGTATCGCTATATTTTTATATAATTCGATTTCCTTTTTATGGGCTGACTTTTCTTCCGAATCCTTATAGATAGATGCATTTTCTGCTTGAGCTAATTGAGATCTAGTATTGTAATATTCTTCCTCTAATTTACTCCATTTTCTTTGAAATCTATATTTAGCGCTAGCTCTAGCATCGGAATTTTTCACCATATCTGCAATAAAACGTTCCTTGATTTTTATAGTCGTTTGCAATTCCTCTATACGTTTATGAGCTCCATCTAAATCTGATTGAATTTTTCTCACTTGTGTTTGCTTAGCTTCGTTATTTAACGTCAATGATTTTAATTCTTTGATCGGTTCTGGAACATCACTAGTTTTAAGAGCATCTATTAATAAATCTGGAGAATTATCATCATTTTGCTGAACAGTAAGATGATTATTTTCATTAGCAAGTGTTACTTGTAAGGTGTAATTGTCCAAAATATTATTACTACTATCTGTCAATTGATTTGTTTTAGTATGTTTATTAAGCATATGATTTTGATGATATGGTTTGAAGTTATCATTAAAAGCTAACACTTCGTTACACATTTCTGAACCAGGAAGCATAGAATTTCGTCTAGAATTTGGATTTCTAGTAGCAATTGGTTTCGCTAATGGAACATAATTATTATTAGCATTAATGGATTTGATCATAGTTGGAAGAATTTCTATATTACTTTTTCTAAATATATCATCTTTCTTTGACTCAACAATAGTATCTGTATCTATTTTCAATTTATTCATACACTCGTTGAGTTTTTCTAAAAAGTCGGGACTTTCTGAGCTTTGACTTTCATCGCTATGATCGTCCTCGTCCTCGTCCTCGTTCTCGTTCTCATCCTCGTCCTCGTCCTCGTCTTCATCCTCATCGTCTTCATCTTCGGCTTCTGATACATCGCTATCAGTGACTGACGAACTATTAGAATTATTTTTCAATTCTCCTCCTCTATTTATAGATTCGTCAGTTTTCTCATCAGTTTCTGTTACCTCTTCAATTCTCTCTAAAGATTTTCTAGTATTTTCCGGAAAACCATGTAAACTAGCCACATCGTCATTAGTAATACACTCTTCGTATTCCTGTTTCATGCAAAGCCATTGTTCAATTTGATCTTGTTCTGTATGTGGTAAGATATTACTTGTCATAAGTTTATTGAATAATCCTTCCGCGTTAGAAACTAACTTTGACCATTGCGTTGCTGCAAATTGTAATCTGAAAAGGTCAGCGCTAGAACTGCGTTCTCCTGACGTAGCAGAAGTCATAGTATCATGCGTTTCATCTCCAGTTTGTTCGCTTTCTTCTTCGTCCAAATCTTGTTGTTCATGATTACGATGTTGAAATTGTGCCATCACAGGAATATACGGAGTATAATACTGATGGTTATCCAAGATTGCTGCTTGTTGATGAATCCAAGGCCCGTAATGCATCATTTTGATTTTTAATTCTCTGATTGATGATTCTTAACTTTTCAATCAAACAAGAATAATCATTAATATGTATAATAACATATATGTATAATAATAATGTAATAATAAATTGTAAATACTTACAATGAGTTCCTTTCCTATCTATCTTCAACAACAAGTTACATATTTTCTCTTGCTTAGTTGATTACACATAAACCTCAATGCAATCTCATTTGCATTTAACTTTGTCACCATTCTGCAAAATAAACACAGAAAGAAAAGTACATTTAGAGAGAAACATTAGAGAGAGAGAGAGAGAGAGAGAGAAGGGAGAGAAATAAAAATATCACTTGTAACACTTGTCAATTTCTAACCTATTAACATAACCACCACCAATCGAATAAATGAATTTTTCTTGTCCACGTTTTGTAAAATGAAATAATAAATACATTTGTAATTATATTGTAACTGTATTGTAATTGTACACTTAATAAAACGCACAGTAGTGAAAAAAGAAAAAAGCTTACTGTGCGTAAGCAAGGCTAACTGTCACTTATTCACGTTCGTTCATCGTTGCTGCCATCTTTGTCGATATTTGTCGATATCTATCGAGATATCTCTCGCTAGCTTATTTATTAATCGTTCGATATATTTTTATTCAATTTACAAACGTATATTACATATTAATTGTCTTCCTATTATGTGTGGAATTCAATGAAAAGATTTTCATTTAGTAAGTAACATCAATTTATTTCTTTTCTATTTAATAAATGCTCAAGTATAATAATAAGGTTAATTTTAATGAAATAATCCGATGAAAAGGAATCAATCAAATGATTGATGAAATTACGATCAATTGCCTTTTTTGTTTTGTTGTTTTTTAATATTTCCTCGTTTATTCGTTTTCCTGCCAGTATTATTTTTGTTAACATCTTTCTTCTCCCTTATTGTTTTCAATAATTCCCTTCTTTGCATGTCATTTTGACGTTCGTTGACCGATAAAGAATTATCGTCATTTTCATTCAAAATATTTGTCAAATCTTTTTTTGATTCCATATTCGTCGATAAGGATGAAATTGAACTAATCTCTGAAAGACGTATATCGTTCAATTTTGTTTTTCTTTTATTTAATTTGGGTGTGCTGCTAAAGTATTTATCAGGATTTTCCTTCAAGGAAGTTTTCGTCGTTTTATTCGAAACGAAATTCTTGGTTGATTGGTCTATTTTCTTATTTTTTGTAAATATATCTCCGTTTAAGGCTGCTTCTACCTGCTTCTTTTCACCAACTGAAATTTGTTGTTCTTTTTCTTTTGCCTTCGTTATAATAGTACTCGTAGAAGTTGTTTGAAAATCTTTCTTTTGCTTGTTTATCTTTTTTCCTCCTCTCTTATTAGATTTTGATTTTGCTTTATCCTCTTCTATTGAATTTGACGAATATTTACTATTTCCATTTTCCATTTGCAACTCTGTCAAATCGTTTTCAAGGCTACTTTCTTCATCTTTTTTTTCTTCATCTTTTTCTTCCTATATATTTAGAATAATTCTTATTATAGGGTAGGATAGGATAGGATATAATTTGTTTACATTACATTATTTATGTTTAATTGTATTATTTGTGCATGTAACGAATACGTAATAATATGTTAAAAACTAAGTGTACATACCGTTATGTACTCATCAAAGTTATTGGAAACTTTAGATACTTTCTTCCAAATAAAATGACGATTATCATCAATAATTTGTTCGAATGCAGCGCTCAAATTGACGTTCTTGAATGGTTTGAAATATTTCTGAAATATTTTATTTATTTTTGGCGACAAAGTATTGTCTTCTTTCTCAATACTTATTAAATATGGAAGTGCTTCGTTTGATTTATATGCCATAAACAGAATAATATTATATATTTGCTCAGGATCATTTATCACTTCTATTCCTGACATGTGTAAATGAATTCGTGTCAATCCAAGATTGGCGTCTAAGGAACACTTTTCTAGATTTGAAATAATATTCTAACACACAAAAATACAATAAATATTAATCATTAAACTGAATCTACTCCTCTCCTGTTCAATTTATTATACCTAACCTTTAAATTGTTATATTGTTCTTGACGATCACTATAACAATTGACGTGTTGTTTGCAACATTTTAAAAATGATTTTAAATTTGTATGTTTATCCAGTGGAAACTCCGAAAGAATATCCTCCATGTCGGTTGAAGGTGGCATCACCCATTTTCCTAATTTCAAATTATCATCAGTATTGACAATTTCTACGCAAAATAAATTATCCTTCGTAACATTTACTCCTGTTGAAAATTCGAATATGCTAATGTTGTTCATTTTAATGCATTGCATTCCAGAAAATCTATATAAATCTATATTCAAATTAATGCTCCTCTTTAGTATATCATCAATTGAATTATCCAACTGTTTTTGCAATATTTTTCTACTGCCGCCTGCCGCCGCCTCCTCCTTCTTTTCTTTTATTAAATCCTTTTCTAACTTGTTTTTTAATAAAGAACCTTCCCCAATTTTATCTGTCAACAAATGTGATTTTTTATTTTTTCATACTTTTATATTATTACTTATATATTTACTTCTATTATTTTACCTTCCTCCGAAAATTCAGATGAATATGCTCCGAGCTCCTTTGTATTTTCTTCATCAAGTCTATTATCTCCTTCTCTATTCGGCATTCTTTCAAATATTCACTTAATTAATCATACGTATTTGCAAATATAATTCAATGTAATGAAACATCAAACAAATTAAAACAGCTAAAACAACGCGCTTTGTTTTATCCTTTTAGGTTAATTTTGATTGTTCTATGATTCACCCTCCTCTTCGAAATCAAACAATAAACTCACTCGCTTGTCCTCTATCAGTCTTTTATTTCTATTCTTTTATTTAATATTGTTTATATGGCTTTCCGAACGTTGCGCGTCTGCTGTGCGACGGTATATATATATATATACATAATAATTTATTAAATAAAGAGATAATTAAAGATTGTAACGAAGGGAACAACAAATGATACAATTGCATAATTTTCATTTAACCACGTGTCACGTGAAAACAAAAAGAAACAAAAATGACGTACGTGACAATCATCAAACAGTCATATAGACGATTACATGGAACAAAAGTATTTTCATAGAGGATAATGTCTAAAGGTGAATATCAAGGAGGAAAGTATATAGATCATATGCGATAAATGAGCTTTTCAATAAAAATAGACACTTCTATTCTTTAATTAACATTAATGTTATTATTTTAGCGCTCCCATGATGGACTCTAAAAATGGCTTATTCTATATTTATTTGGCGCTATTATGAAGAAATATTATTACAACTACTACAACTTGATTATTTTGGGGATTGATTAACTAAGAAGTAGTGAAGGTAACAATTGAAAATTGTTAGTAAGTTAACATAATAGTTAATAGAACTTTCACTTCGACGTTTAGATAACTCCCAATTATGTCAGAAGGGCTTGCTTACATAACTATCTTATCGATAAGCTACGCATGGACCGCATATCGCCTATTATCTACAAAAAAATGTAGAAAGGATAATATAATGTTAGGAATAATAATTATTTGTAGGAGGATCCTGATACAGGATAGATTCATATACACTGAAAGTGTTATGAAACAGAGAAATTTTTATTCAATTTTTGATACATGAGCCGAGTCCGAAAGGTAGTCGAAAGGTGTGATCACAGATGAGGGGGTGTGGGAATTGTGCGGTTGTCCTCCTTGTTTTTTCATTTTTATCCTTTCTGAGACTTCAGCAAGTATCCCGCGACTCCCAGATCCAAATATCTAAGATATTTATTATAATAATAGTATTACTCTATTTTCATATGATTTAATTGTTCTTTACATTAATTTGTCAGATTTTCTCAAAAATGTATCTTGTATTTTTTAATGAAATGTTTCATTACCATGGTTTAATTGCCATTGAATGTTTGTAGTTTGTAATTACCTTGTTTGGCTTATAATAGATTCGCGTTTTGTTCTTTTCACTGGTGTAACACGACTGCCGTCATTGGACACGAGCCTGGATGCAACTGGAGTGGATTTTTCTGGCGAACCGGTAGTACCCGATGGTACATTTGAAAGTAATCTTTTGCCTTGACGGTTTTCCTTTGATTTTCTTCGTACACTTAAATTGGACGATACGATAATTTCGTCGAAGGTTGTTCCATAGACTGATGCTGTTTAGAAGAAATATTAAAACAATTATTTGTCAAATACTGTATCGCTTTTAATGCTATCTATCTATGTATTTAATGCTATATCCAAATGTTTCTTCTTTCTTTTCTAATTGTAAGTGACACTAACTGCTCGCATAGTAAATTGCATTGCTTACGTTTTGGAGGGGATACTTGTCCTTGAGCGTTGATCATTACACTTGCCAATATGATTACCGAAAGAGCCAAAAGCTTCCTCATATTTCTAAATGTAATTTATTACATATAATTGTTCCAAGAATGTTGAATTTTTCAAACCTTCGAAGAGAAACAAAGAAGCAAAGACAAAAATCAATTGTGACAAATGTCATGAGCGTGAAAATCTTGACAGAGAGTAGTAATCTTTGCTGCTCGAAATCTGACCAACTAAATATTCAATAATAATAATAATAATAATTATCGAAGACGTGTACGAAATGAAAAAAAGGAAAAATAAAAAGAAAAGAAATGTATTATATTTTAACGTTACTCTTGTAAGTATACAACATTAATATTTCAAGGAAGACGAAGAAATTGTGTCTACTCACCGAGGATAACCAGAAGATATTGTACTTTCCGAGTCGACAACCGCACGAGAAATGCGGGCACAATGATGCGGGAACTTTCAAGACAGCACCGTACTACAGCACCTTGATGCTATGGTGTGTATGTGTGTGTGTGTGTGTGTGTGTGTGGAAAACAAGAACACACCATGCATGGTCTGTATACGGGAGAAGGAGGCGCTTTAAAAGCGTCGGAGACTGTAGTTACTTGCCCTGGACAAACCACTTTCTATTTCGTTTTTTTAGATTTCTACTCTGTTTCTTTCTCTTTTACTCTCCCTCCTCTCTGTTATTCCATCTCGTTCCTATATTCTTGTTGACTGGTTTACCAGTCGGCTGCTAAAATCGCGTGCCCTACAGGGCCGTCTAAACTGTGGTTAACGATGGGAGTAACAACCTCCTCTTATTATTTATTATTCTGACTCGTTTGTGTCTACTATTTTTTATTTAGCAGCTGTTTTACAAATTTCTCGTATATTCAAATATATCACACAATTGAACAATGAGTATTTTTCTTCTAATAACCTTTTTTTCCTAGCACTTTGTTTTGTCGAGTATTTTTCATTCAATAATACTTCAATACTCCATACTTATTGCAGAAGTTGATCACGAGATATGTTATGTAAAAACCATACACACACAAATGTATTATGGACATAAGATAATTGAACTTATTAATATTTGGGAATTTATTGACTGTGCAGTCAGTTTAATTTTCAATGAAGAGAAGGGTAGTATTACAAATCGAAGACTGCACTGAGACGGCACTGAGAAGATCGCGTGTGCAGATTGTCCGGTCATTGCTCGATGCTTTTCGAATTTCCATTTTATGTGTTTGCTTTTTACGAGTCCTCCTCCTTTTGGCTTCCCTTTGTGCTGTAAACCCCAACCCTCTCTCTCTCTCTCTCTCTCTCTCTCTCTCTCTGCATCGAACCTGGCGCGTTATTTCGTTGCTTTTATTTTGAAGAACATCTGGTGACTGGTATCGGTATAAAGCAAACTTGCTTCTCAGGAAATCTCGAGAGAAGAGGGTGTTTTGTTTTTATTTCTTGTAATTGTCTTTTGTTTTAACTGTACACTTTATTTACTGTAAATAACCAAAAGTGTCAGCCACCCCCAATCTAATAATAACGACGTATGTTATAAGAAAAATAAGTTAATATGTGTATGAATTTCAAAGAAACCAAAAATATTGTAAATAATAAATAGAATATTTAAAACGTATTTGAAGGTTCAAAAGATCCAAAAGATCTCACATCGCATTTAAATATGAAAAAATAAATTTAGTTGAAAAAGAAAAGTTAAAAACCCCGACATTTTTAAATGTCCTCGAGAGCGTTGTTTAAAAAGCATGTTTGAAAGAGAAGTACTAGTGGTACTTTGAAGTACGAAGGAGAGATCCTTGCTTGCATAACTGGCTTCAATCGTACGACCCGAACATGGTATGGATCTCTTTAAAACGAGTTAATCCGTATAACACCGACCGACCGACGACCGACCGGCCGACCGACCGACCGGCCGACCGGCAGACCGCCTGAGAACCAAGAAGATTCATTTTTCCTTTGTTCATTCTTTTTCACACGTACCCAAAAGAATCTCGTCTCAATGGTACAATGCCGACGTGCATTTACGATTCTTTCTTTCTCTCCCTCTTTTTCTTTTTTATTTCTTTCTCCTCTCTCAGTTTCTTCCTGCATATAAATAAACAACGATAGAAAGATGTGTGGTGTTCGAACTCGTTGATCAACCAATTCGAGGACCAACAAGAAAATATATCTACCATATATTATTGGTATAACTGAGGAGTCTCCTCCTTTTCGAAACATGTTTTAAAGTTACTCTTTTTGGACATATATCAATTATACACAAATATCGTAATAATTCGTTCTATTATACGTATTGTGCTATTAAAATAATACATTGTAATAAATTAACCAATCATCTTTGGTTAATTTGATTTTGAATTTCTTCGAGTTCTCAAATAAAACGCGCAATAACATATTACGTAAAAAAACTACATAAATAAAAAAAACAATTTAAAAAAAAAAAAAAAAAAAAAAAACATACGTCAAACGCATACGATATAAGAAGTTGATAATAGAGAAGAATTTCTAGGAAAAATCAAAACATAATGTTCGATTTTAAAATGATTCTCGGTAATTACCAAGAAATTACAAGAAAATGCATACGACACAACGTTATTTTATCTTATCTTCTTTAAATAAATATCTGTCTTTTTTGATTCCACACTTCTATAAACATGTTTATGCCTTTTATAAAAGATACACACACACACACACAGGAATATTAAATACTGTATTTTTTCTTTTATTTTGTATAAACATATTTTAATGTTTCAACTTCGTCGTTATTTCCAAATCGAAATGATTTATCTAAGCGAGCGCTCGTATACGTACATATGTTTAATCTAACATTAGATATTTACGTTAATAATATCGACAAATAGCTTGAGGGAACATAAAATGATACTTTACAAACTACCATAAACGTTACACAAAGTCTATTCTAATGTGAACAAAAATGATTCGCGTATAATCTTCGATTCGACGTTATTAACAATTAATCACGTGTGACTTATCGAAATTTAAATAGATAATTCGAGTATTATGTCATTCATCGATTCTTATCCACTGAAATAATATTAAATAATAAAAGCTACTGAAGCACGAGCTTTTTATTTGCAATATCTCATGCATTTTTTATTTAAATTCGGGAACAAAATATAATATAATAATTCGATAAAACCGCGAATGAAACTTTTTTTACAATCAACGATTGTAAAATAATACATTAATTACAAGGGAGTTGTAGAGACAAAAGAAAGAAGAAAACTTAATTGATCGTGCAACTGATCGTGCAACTGATCGTGCAATTGATATTATCGATTACTTAGCGAAGATTCAAAGTTCCTTGTAGAAACGTTCAATTCAGTCTGGGAATATGAGCATGTCATTGGTATCAGCAGTAGCAGATGCGTGACTGGATGCTGATGATTTAGATCCGAATCCTAAAGAACTACTGGATGCATTAGCGTTGGCTTTGGCACTAGCCGAGCCAGATCCATGAGTGAACGCAGAAGATTTACTGGAACTATTTGCTGATCCACCACCACTACCATTTGAATACGCATTGGAATTTGCATCGGCATTGGATGATCCCCCAGCATTAGCAGTAGATTTAGCATCGGAGTAAGCGTTTGATCCTGTACAAGGGAATACACCAATCATTTAATTAAGATCAGACCCGATGAAACAGCTTCCATAAAAGCAGCTGAGGATGATAATTTTGTCGAGTCGTTTGATCCTGAATGACGATCAATTCGCGTCAGATCTCCAGCTAAATTAATGAAATGAAGCTAAGGTTAATTGACTATTGTTGGGCTAAATTAAAGAGAGAGAGAGAGAGAGAGAGAGAGAGAGAGAGTTACAGTGTTTCGATCAAAGGTATTCGAAAAATTGACTTGATTTCTCGGTCATTTAGAATAATTAAAATGTACCTGATGATCCTCCGTAAGATCCACCGTATCCTAAACCAGATCCCTTGATGTTTCCGTAACCTCCTTGTTGGCCTAACCCACCACCATTAAATCCTGATCCTCCTGAACCACCTGAACTTCCAGCATTAGCATTAGCATTAGCTTCAGCATTGGCAACAGCATTTGATCCAGAAGAACCGTATCCTCCACTTAAATTTCCAGAACCACCATGATGTCCACCGTAACCGCCGCTTGAGCCTCCTTGTCCTCCGAATCCATTTATGTTTCCACTTCCAAAACCATTAGACCCACCGGAAGCTCCAGCGTTTGCATCGGCATTAGCACTGGCACTAGATCCGGCAGAACCTCCACCGAATCCTGAACCTCCGCCAATTCCTCCACCATTACTTCCACCAAATGGTACACCTCCAGATCCACTACCTCCTCCAATTCCTCCGCCAAATCCTCCGCCAATTCCTCCGCCAATTCCTCCGCCATTACTTCCACCAAACGATGCACCTCCAGATCCACTACCTCCTCCAATTCCTCCGCCAATTCCTCCGCCAATTCCTCCGCCATTACTTCCACCAAATGGTGTACCACCAGATCCACTACCTCCTCCAAATCCTAAACTTCCCGCATTTGCATTGGATCCTGCCGAACTGCTACCACTTCCATAACCACTTCCCAAGTTTCCTGTAGAGCCACCACCATATCCGTAACCACCCAAATTTCCTGATCCAGATCCTCCAAGATTCAATGTAGAAGTACCTTTGATTGGTCCGATTCCTTGACCACCGTAACCAGATCCAGAACTTCCAGCATTAGCCGACGCATCGGCATTTGCATTGGATCCTGTCGAACCGCTACCACTTCCATAACCACCCAAATTTCCTGTCGAGCCACCACCATAACCATAATCA